GAGACCCCCAAACCAACCTTGGAGAGCCCCAGGACAGTTCTGGGTGTCCCCAAAGTGGCCCTGGGGAGCCCCCTCCACAAAAATCCAGGGTTTTTTTTTTTTTTTTTTTAGGGTCGGGGCTTCCCTCCCCCTCTCAGACATTTTTCTTCCTGGGAGTGCAGGAAAAAGGGAGGCAGGGAAGGGGAGACTTGCCTGGTGAAGCCGCAAAGAGAGAAACGGGCTGGGAGGAGGAAGAGGAGGAGGAAGAATTGGGGGGATCTGCAAGAGAACACAGAGGGTGAGAGCTCAGCACTCCCCAAAACCCCCCCCCAAAATCCCCCCCAAACCCTCCCCAAAAGGCGGGGCCGGCGCGGTGCAGCTTCGTCCTGGCGGTTTTTTTCAGGGTGACGCAAAAACCACGAGGAAAATTCCAGTCTGGAGCGGATTTTTGGGGGGTTTTTACCCCGTTTTTCCCAAGCTTTGGGGCGGGGAGCGGCGCAGGGCTGGTTCTCGGGGGTCACCCCGAAATTCCCACCCACCCTTCTCGGCGCTGGACCCCTCGAGGGGGAGATTTGGGATGTGAGGTTTGGGGTGAAACCGCGGAGTTTTGGGGTTATGCGGTGCCCAGGTGTAAAAAGTGCAGTGAAATCCTGGGAATCGCCAAGTCAGGGTGTTCTGGAATGATCGCTGGAAGAGGGGGTGTCCTGGGGAGGGGGGGAAATGCCCCCTCCCCAAAATTCCAGGGAAGGACGGACGGAGCAGCCGATCTCAAATGATCCCCCCCTCCCCAAAAAAAAAATAAATTAATGCTCCCTTTCCTGCGGATTTTTCTGAGGGATGTGGGGGTGGAAGTGTCACTGCCCATCAAATCTGGCCTCTAAAAAGCTTCCTCAGCACCCAAATTTCCACTTCAAAGTCTCTTTATCCTCCTAAACTTCCCTAAAAACATCTTTTCCCCCTAAAATCCCCCTAAGAGCATCTTTCATCCCAAACGTGCTCCCTTCAAAGGCTTCTTCTTCTCCATTTTACCCCGCAATTTCTTTAACCCCCCATTTCTGTCTCCTCTTAACCTCATCCCCAAAAGGCCTCGTCACCCTCAAATCCCCCCTACAAGTCTCTGCTCCTCCAAATCTGCTCCTCCAAGGCCTTTTCTCCCTCATTTTCCCCCTCATGTTCTTCCCCCCCCACCATTTCTAACCCCCTCTAAAAGACTTTTTACCTCACGCCAAGTCCCCAAACGCCGCTTCCCCCAATATCTGCCCCTCCAAAGGCCTCCTGCCCCCAACACCCATCCCCTCAAGGTCTTTCCTTCCCTATTTCTGCCCCTCCCACCCCCTTTTTACCTCACACCCAACGCCCAAAGGCTTCTTTCCCTCACGCCCCCGCCGAGGCCTCACCCCCCTCAGGCCCCACAGGCCCCGCCCGGCCCTTACCGGCGCAAGACATGGAACCGCCGCCCGTGCAGCCGCCGAGCGCGGCCCGCGAGGAGGAGGAGGAGGACGAGCTCACGGAGCCGGAAGAGGAGGTGGAGGAGACGAGCGAGAACTGCCCGGCGGAATCGGACATAGCGGCGGCGGCGGAGCGCGGTACGAGCCCGTCCGTGCGGGGCGGCGGCCGCGCCCCGACTGCGGGGGGGGCGGTGCCGGGAGGGGCGTGGCCGGCGCGATCCAACCAATCCGCGCCCCGCACCTGCTGCAGGTGGGCGGGGCCAGAGAGTCTGGACCAATTAGCGCCTCGCAATGGCCGCGCGCCGCCCTCCCGCCGCAGCTCGGCGCTGATGCGCATGCGTAGAACGAGGGGGGCCCCCGCAGTTGCCATGGCAGCAGCGGGAGAAGGAGAAGCTGAGGCTGCGTGTGGCTGGAGGAGCGCGGTGCAGGACGGGAGTTGTAGTCCCAGGACCTCTTTGGAAAAGGGGAAGGGATTCTGGGGAGGTTCTTGCGAGGGAGGAAGGTTTTGGGGGTCTGCACTCCAGTCATAAAGTCTCCCATGGGGTGGATCGCCCCGTGCAATGTCCTCCTATAGGCGGTGATAGGCTACAGGACGCTTCTTGGAGGAAGGGAGGAGAGGCCTGCACCCTCCTAAAGGGCCGATAAGTCCCAGGTCCTTCCCTTATGTGGGGGCGAGCCCAGAACCGCTGCCCGAGGAGGACAGAAGCGGCCGCAGAGCGCCCCTCTTAGGGCAAAGGGGACTCTGGGGGACTCCCGCGGGGGCGGCGCCCATAGAGAGCTCCTTGTAGCCCAGAGAGCGCCGTCATGGCCTGGTAAAGCGCGCCCCCTGCTGGGCGGGATGACAGCACGCCGGACATCCGGAAAGGGCGGGGCCTGAAAGAATCACATGAGATCACCTGACCCCGCCTGTCCCCCTTGGCCCCGCCCCTGCCCGTCAGCTCCCGCGGAGCCGCCAATGGCAGAGGGAGGCGTGGTTGTGACGTCACGATGCTCCGCCCTTTCGTGGAAAGCGGGAGTGGGCGGGGCCTGAAAAATGCGTGACATTTGATTGAGCCAATAGAGAGGCGAGGGCGGAGGCGGGCGGGCCAATGAGGCTCCGTATTTGGGCAAAGGGGCGTGGTCCCACTGACGGGTGGGCGGGGCCGCTGGCGGGCGGCCAATGGAGGGCGAGGGGGCGGGGCCAGCGGGGCCTCCGGGACACGGGGGAAAGCGGCGGTCGCGGAGCGGTGAGTGTGCACCACGTGACCCCCGGTATCGCCCGACTGTCGCGACAGAGCCCCCGGGTGGGCAGGGAGGGGCTGCGACCTTCGCGATCTCCGCACCCGTGACCACCCCCCAAAAAACGTTCACCGTAGTTTGGGACCTCCCTATGGGGCCCAGGACCCCCCTCGGGACCCCCTATAGGATCCAGGACCCCCCTATAGGGTCCGAGACCCCCCCTGTGACCCCCATATGGGGTCTGGGACCCCAGGAACGTGACCCCCCATAAGGGCCGAGACCCCTGTGCGAGCCCCCCCTATAGAGTCCCCAGAGGCACCATGGACCTGGAGCCCCGGTACGGAACAGTGCTCCCAGTTAGCCCCGTACGGGACCGGCGGTGTCCCCGCGGTGTCCCCACGCTGTCACCCGGGGCCATCCGGGGCCATGGGTGCCCCCAGGTGCCCCCCGGGGCCGGCTGGACTTTGCCCCCCCCCCAGTCAATTA